GAAGGCCTTGCATGGGTTATTTTATGCATTCCTTCCTAGAGTCTGACTTCTCCCCACAATGAGTGTGCAGTTCTCAGCCCTGACTCAATGTACGATGGGAGAGTTTGGGTCCGGCTCCTTGGAGGTGGGGGTCAGAGCAAATTCTGCCCCACCCCCAGTCTACCCCACCTCACCTGTTTTAGCAGTTCCACCGCCCTGGCATTGGAGGTGTAGGTCAGGTGTGACCCTGGACGTACCCAGCATACACCTGGAGCCCCCAAGGTCCCCTGCACGTGATGAGCAAGTTCACACATGCCCCTCTGCCTGGGGTGTGCCTGGGGCCCCTGCTACCGCAAAGACTAGGCCCCTTGTGGGACTCTGTCTTCAATCATGGAAGGGGAGTGGCGGTAGGGCGTGGGCAGGGGAAGGTGGTTTCAAGATGGGTGTCATTTCAAGAGGATTAGCCACAAAGATCTGCCAGCCACAAAGTCCCTCCCCATCACCCTGTCTTGGGACCTGACATCCCCTCATTCAGACCCTTGGAGGACTCCTGCCTTGATGCACTTGATCCACAGAGGAAGCCACTGATTCGGCCACTGTTTATTCTTGCCCGTCTAGACGCCGCACCGAACAGGGTGCTGGACAGGGGAGGAGGGGAGGGAGGGCGTCTGAGCGCTCTGGGAGCACGGCCAGAAGGACCATCCCAGGAACCAAAGTGCTCCTGCTCAGAAAAGAACAATTGAGAGAGGTCAAGCTCCCTGGTGGCTCAGAGGATAAAGCGTCTGCCTGCAATGCAGGAGACCCGGGTTCGATCCCTGGGTCAGGAACATCCCCTAGAGAAGGAAATGGCAACCCACTCTAGTCTTCTTGCCTGGAAAATTCCACGGATGGAGGAGCCTGGTGGGCTACAGTCCATGGGGTTGCAAAGAGTCAGACACGACTGAGCGACTTCACTTTTTTCAGAAGTCGAGGGGAAGAGGGAGCTGGGAGTAAGAACATGGGCATGCCTGGACCCCAGATTCTCTGATTGGAGGCCAGCTCTATCCGACAGAAAGAGAAGGGTGAACCACAGGTGTGGAAAGAAACATGTGAAGTTAATGTTAATTACAAACCCTATTTAATTCAATATATTCAAGATTTCACTATGGAATCAATATGAAAAGTTTACATTATACATATATTGGTGGTTTAGTAGCTGGTCCTGTCCGACTCTGGCTACCCCGTGGACTGTAGCCCACCAGGCTCTTCTGTTCATGGGATTTTTCAGGCAAGAATACTGGAGTGGGATGCCATTTCCTTCTCCAGGGGATCTTCCCAACCCAGGGATAGAACCTGCGTATCCTGCAGTGCAGGCAGATTCTTGGCTGCTGAGCCACCAGGAATCTCATATATACATATGTGTGTGTAGTCGTGCTAAGTCTTGGAAACCCAGGATGCATGTCATACCTACGGCACATCTCACTTTGGACAAGTCGTGTTCAAGTATTTCAGTGGGACCCGTGGCTGGTGGCTCCCCTGTGGGGCTCTAGACCTGGCCCACGCTGTCCCTTCTGCTGGGACTGTCCCCCTGCATAGCCACTCCCACTTCACTCACTCCTGCCTCAGAAGTCTGAGACGTTTCTGGATCAGATGCTGTGTCGTGCTGGTCCATCCAGGTGGGAGGGCCATATCTACAGGGTCACACGCCCCTCACAGGGGGTCTCCTGCAGAACCTCACCAGGCCATGCCTCCCCTAAAGGGTCTCCTTCAGGCTCCGCACAGAGAAGGTGCTGGGGAAATATGCGTCAAAATGAAATGACGGTATATGTTTTCATGTTTTGGTTTTTCCGGTACTCATGTATGGATGTGAGAGTTGGACTCTAAAGAAAGCTAAGTGCCGAAGAATTGATGCTTTTGAATTGTGGTGTTGGGGGAGACTCTTGAGAGTCCCTTGGACTGCAAGGAGATGTAACCAGTCCAACCTAAAGGAAATCAGTCCTGAATATTCATTGGAAGGACTGATGCTGAAGCTCAAACTCCAATACTTTGGCCACCTGATGTGAAGAACTGACTCATTTGAAAAGACCCTGATGCTGGGAAAGATTGAAGGGGGGAGAAGGGGCTGACAGAGGATGAGAAGGTTGGATGGCATCACCAACTCGATGGACATGAGTGTGAGTAAGCTCTGGGAGTTGGTGATGGACAGGGAGGCCTGGCGTGCTGCAGTCCATGGGGTCACAAAGAGTCAGACACAACTGGGTGACTGAACTGAACTTGCATGTTTTCTGAGCTTGGTTTAGGATGGTTCCTTTGCGAACACAGGAAAGTCAAGGCAGTGGCTGGATGGGGTGGTGGCACTGGGGGCGGGGGAGGGTTTCGCAGAGGTTTCCTAAGCATCGCTTTTCCTCCCCTGTAAGTTGCCATCTGTCCCCACAAAAGATGAACAGTTTTGTGAGTGTTTTTTAAAAGTCCAAATGCACCATGTCCATTTGGAGAGAACATATTGAGTTGTGAACCAACCGTCAATTTCACTGAAACAGTTTTTTTTTTTTTTCCTGGGCACCATTAGAGGGAAGCAAGCTATAATCAGAAAAAAGGAAAATTTTGTGGGGAAATGCGATTAAGCCAGGGAAAATCCAATAGCTTAAATTTGGAGTTGAATTACTTTTTGTCCTCTGAGGGTTCAAGTTCACCTCATTAGCCCACAAGTCCCCTTTACTGTGGGAGCTAAGAGAAGGGGTGTCTACATGCCCTCCCTTCCTGATTCATCTCTCCTCCCTCTATCTAGGCCCCTTTAGTTCACACACCAGCCAGTCCCAGGCCAGGCACCGTGGCTGGTGTGGTATGCAGGGGAGGGAGGGTGGATGCATCCAGACCAAGCCCGTGACACACGCACGCTCCCCAGGCATGAAGCCCTTGAATGCTTACAACAATCCTAAGGGGCAGGCACTGCTCACTTCTGGTTTATAGACGACAGGCTGGAAGCTCAGAGAGGCAATATCACTGGCTCAAGGTCACACAGCTAGCAGGAAGTAGAGGAGCTGGAATTTGAACTTCAGAGCCCAGGCGGACAAACTCAGCAGCCCACCCTCGGAGAGCAACTGAAACCCACTCTCCTGTGTTCTGCCTGGGCTTCGTGTCCCACAGAAACCCGCATCTCTGCAAGTTCTGACATCCTGGCTAGACATGGCAGACCTACACCAGGGGCTCCCACCCAGGGGTGGTTCTGGTCCCCAGGTTGCCTAGATCTGCCAGTGTCTGGAGACATTTCTAGTTGTCAAAACTCGGAGCAGGAGGGAAGAGGTGTTGCTGGTGTGCAGTGGTAGATGACAGAGGGGCTGCCAACATCTCATGATGCACAGGTCACCCCCACACACAACACAGACTGTCAGGAGTGCTGAGGTCTAGTGGGTAGTTCTAGAAGGAAAAACTGATGGATCTGCTCTGCTCAGGACAGACTCATCCAGAGACCTGCAGACAGTCTGACATCCTACGTTTAAAGTAAGAGGCAAGCCCACTAGCCTTCTCCCAGAGGGAGTGGCTACCACAGAAAAGACAGTGAGAGATGCTCTGGGCTTGTGCTGTCTGGAGAAGAGAAGACGGGCGCTGCTGAGAGGGAGCCCGGCTCACTGCCAGCCCATCAGCAGGGCCCCCAGGACAGACGTCCTCCTGGACTGCAGAAAGCAGGATTGGCAGCGTGGGTGGAACTATGGGGAGCCAGGTTTCAGCTCAGTGTGAGGAGGGACAGGGAGAGACAGAGGGACCTGGGCAGTGAGCCTCTCCTCCCTGGAGCACCATCCTTCTCTGGGGGATGGTGAGGCAGGGCATCCCTTCCAGGTCCCGGCCACCTGAGGATGCAGGAAGATGCTGGGGGATACTGAGGGTGCTGAGGGATGCTGGGGGATACTGGGGATGCTGAGAGATGCTGGGGGATTCTGGGGGATGCTGAGGGATGCTGAGAGATGCTGGGGGATGCAGGAGGATGCTGGGGGGAGCTGGGGGCTGCTGAGGGCTGCTGAGGGATACTGGGGATGTGGGGGGATACTGGGGATGCTGGGGGATGCTGAGGGATACTGGAGGTGCTAGTGGATACTGAGGAATTCTGGGGATGCTGAGGAGAGGCTGAGGGATGCTGGGGGATGGGCCATACGCTCCCTCTTTCACACACACACACACACACACACACACGCACACAAAACCCTGCACAGCTCCTACTGCCCAGGTTCAACATCCACTTTCCAATAGAACATAAAAAATGCTTTATATTTTCACCTTTCCAAATACTTAAGCCATTTTGGATACAAATTTGTGTGTGCAGGGGTGTTTCCTCTCCAGTGAGCAAAACTGACTGGGTAATACTTTTTTTTTTTTTTTTTTTTGCTACNTTACTTTTTTTTTTTTTTTTCTGGCTACAACATGTAAGGAAAATTCTGTAGTTGGAGGAGGTTGGCTTCTGGAATGTACATCCCTGAGGCCATGGTACTGCAAACTTGACTGGCATGGGGGATGGGGACAGGGAGAGGACGTGACAAGCCACAACGCCTGGACTCACAGCGGCAGATCCTGGAGCTGTGGGAGGGGTGGGCCCCTCTGGCTGGGCACAGAGCATGCGCCCTGCTCCCTGGGCAGGTGGCACCCTGGGGCCGGGGATTCCAGGCAGGGCTCTCCTGCACTCAGCGGGCAGTAAGAACCCACCTCCTGCAGGCTGTTTTCCCCCATCTCTTCTCCCTTGTCTTCTCCTTTAGAACTTCCCGAGTTTGGGGACTGAACGTCAGAATGATGTGCTTTGAAATCAAGTGGGGAGTTTCACCAGCTTTTGGTCCTAAGTTTAATCCAGAAGAATCTGAGGCTGAAAAGCAAAAGCATATGGCCTCCTTCTCCCTCTTTGTCAAGTTCATTCTCATCCTCCGATCCACCCTCTGGAAAGCACGTGGCCAAGCGAGGCCCACCACAGCTAAAGGCCACGCGGGCTGGCATGGCTCTCTGGAGCCCCGCACCCAACCCGACCCGCCCCAAGCTCTGGGCGCGCCGGCCAAGCTCACCTGGTGATCACGTAGGGCGCAAAGCATACGAGGAAAGTGCCTATGAAGGTGCTGATCTTCCTGCTGGCTCGCTGCCGCCGCCTCTTCTGCTCCTCCAGACAGCGTTCCCGCACACTGTACACAAGAGAGGGGAAGGTGAGTCCCAGGGCGGGCTGGCCAGTCACCGGGGCTCACTATCGCGCATGCAGGTGGTGGCCGTGAGAGCGGGAACCTGGCCACGGAGCCAGAGAGACGTGCGTTCAACTGGGCTGTGAGCATGTGACCTGTGGTACCTTGTCTGACATCACTGTGTCATCATCTGCAAAACATGAAGAGTAACACAACGAAGCTCTGCACACAGGGCAAGGGGAGGGTGGGACCCACTGGGAGATTAGGACTGACAAATATACACTGACGTGAAGGTGAAGTCGCTCAGTCGTGTCTGGCTCTTTGCGACCCCATGGACTGTAGCCTACCAGGCTCCTCCGTCCGTGGGATTTTCCAGGTAAGAGTACTGGAGTGGGTTGCCATTTCCTTCTCCAGGAGATCTTCCCGACCCAGGGATCGCGGACCCAGGTCTCCGGCATTGCAGTCAGGCGCTTTACCATCTGAGCCACCAGGGAAGTCCTGGTAGGGTATACACTACCATGTGCAAAATAGATGAGCTAGTGGGAAGCTTCTGGACAAGAGGGGTACCTCAGCGCGGTGCTCTGTGATGACCTAGGGGGCGCGATGGGGGGTGGGGTGGGAGGGAGCCGCCAGAGGGAGGGGACTCTACAGCATTGTAAAGCAATTGTTCTCCAATTAAAAAAATAAAAATGAGATAAAATGTTGCAAAAGGCTGCTTTGAGAATTAAATGCCTGAAGCAAAAAAAGCAATTAGCACAGTGCGGGAGCAAGTGCAAATAAACACACTCCCTAGGTAGTATCTCTAATTCTTCCCTTTACCTTATCTAATTCTTGTCTCCAATTCTTTATCTTTTTATCCTGTCAGGTGGGTGTTACTTGTTCTGCTTTACAATGAAGTCCACGGTTGCAGAATCTGAATGCGTGTCTGGGTGACTGGAGGCAGGTTCCCTCCAGCTGGGGCAGCCTGGACCTTGCATGCAGTGTGGCCCGGGCTTCCTTTCCTCCACACCTTCAGCCCTATTTCTTCTACCCCAGAGCCCCAGACAGCCCAGGGCTACAGACATCACATTATCAGGTGACTGAAGAAGTTACCAGATTCCTTCAGAGATGAAACTCGGTGAAGATACAAGACCATTAAGTCCCTGGAGAATCGGGGACACGGCTCTGAAGACGCCCACCTGCACCCCTAACCACACCCTGTTCCTGACTCCACTCTGCTCCCCGCCTTTCGAGAACTGACATCTCAGGCCAGCTGGGAGCAGTGGTTCTTGCAACCCCTTCCCTGCAGCCTCATGAAAATGAACAAGCAACAGCCAGGCTGGCTATCTCCACAAGCGAGGCGTCACGTCCTCCAGATTCCAGGGCCCAGCGTGGCCATGTGTTCCTACTGTTTACTTATTTTTCTTTACAATTAAAAAACATACTGATTTATTTAATTGGAGAATAATTACAATATTGTGATGGTTTCTGCCATACATTAGTATGAATCGGCCACAGGCATACATTAAAATAAATGACATGATTGCAGAAGTGGACAGGGAAGAAGACTGTGGACAGAGTTATCCAGGAGTGAAGATAACTTGGCAGAAGTCAGGCCGGGGCTGCAGTGTGTGCATGCGTGCGTGTTCAGTGTCTCAGTTGTGTCCGACTCTTTGTGGCCTCATGGACTGTAGCCCACCAGGCTCCTCTGTCTATGGGATACTCCAGGCAAGAATACTGGAGTGGGATACCATTTCCTCCTCTAGGGGATCTTCCCAATCCAGGGATTGAACTTGCATCACCTGTGTCTCCTGCATTGGCAAGAAAATTCTTTACTACTGAGCCTCTTGGGAAGCCAGGCTGCAGTGACCTGACACCAAAATAGGTCAGTCTGTTCAATGAAAGTAAGGAGTGGGGAGAACGTTCACGAGCCAGACTCGTGAGCAGCATGAACACCAAGGCAGCCCCCACTTCCTTCCACAAGGACCAACATCTTACTAATTAATCAAGACTCTATCAGATTTCTGATCACAGATGGACAATTACATGTTGGTTTGGACTGGTCCCCTAAAACTCCTGCAGAATTTTTTTTTCTCCCTTGACTGTATCCTTCCAGGAATTTAGAAAGCTGAGAACTGGAGTCTGGCCCAGTACAAACAGATTTCATACTGGCTGAAATGTATTACTCATGACTCACATTATGAATTAATTTCTAATAACTCATATCAATAGCCACCCACATTTCTTGAATCTTTAATATATGTACCATCTTAGATACTGTGGTAGGGTTTCAGTGGCATTCATTGATTTGATACTCACATCTCTATAAGATAGTAAGTAAAGTCGCTCAGTCGTGTCCAACTCTTTGCGACCCCATGGACTGTAGCCCACCAGGCTCCTCCATCCATGGAATTTTCTAGGCAAGAATACTGGAGTGGGTTGCCATTTCCTTCTCCAGGGGATCTTCCCAAACCCAGGTCTCCCGCATTGCAGGCAGACGCTTTAGTTCTGAGCCACCAGGGAATCCCAGTCCTATAAGATGAGGACTGATAAAACTGTAATCTTCACTTTTTCAGATAAAGAGACTGAGGCACAGAGAAGTTAAGTAACTTGCTCAAGATCGCACAGTGATCGGGAGAAGGGTGGCAGAAGGGTGACCGACTTGCCCGGGGTAATCAGGACTGTCCCAGGTTTAGCACTAGAAGTCCTGCAGCCCGGATGGTATACACAGGACCGTCTGATTTTCCAAACAGAGGGTCTCACATCTGAGGACCACTCTCTGTCTCGGGCAACCCAGGATAGTTGGTCTCCCTAAGTGATGGCAGTAGTTGAACCCAGGTCATCTGACTCTGAGTGTCACCTGTCAACTCACTGAGGTCATTACACCTCCCTGAGGATGTATGCACATCCTCTCTTTCAGAAAATCTGAAGCAAACATACAACCAAGGAGGCAGAGGACAGAAGGGCAATTTTGCCTAAAGTCACACAGCAAGAGTCATCGTAAATCTCTTCACTTTCCAGTCACACCTGGATGTCTGCAGCATCTTCTTGCAAAGACCTCTAGCTCTTGTGACTTGTGCAGATACAAGTGGGCATGGAGAGAAGGCACGGGTCCCCACCCTGGAGGGCTGGGTGCAGTGAGGTGACCTGCCCACCTTGCACTGCCTGAGACGGTCTTGGTTTTCAAGCTCAAAGTTACACATCCTGGCAGCCCTCACAGTCCCAGGCCAATCAAGACAACAGTCACCCTCGCGGCGTGTCTGGTACATTCTTTACAACACAGCGCTGCTTGTTTTAATAATGAAATCCTTCTCTCAAAACTCTCGGTGCAATCAGTGTAGGAATTGCAGGAGATGTGGGGGTGTGAGCTGGGAATCCCGAGTCATCAAGTACACTCACCCGCTGAAAGGAGTATAGGATTCTGGACATCTTGAAAGTGAGGACCAAAGTCATACTGTAAACGACTCATCAAGGGGCAGCAGAGAAACTGGTGGTGACCCTGGAAGCTGGCCCTCCTCCGGGGTGTGACCCCCAACCATATTTTCCATTTCTCAGACATTTTAGAGTAACCCTGATCAGTAAACAAGCCCTGGCTATGTGTCCTAGTCCCAGCTGTGGCCTCACAGCTGTGTGGCCTCAGAGAAGTCACTCAACCTCTCTGAATCTGGTTCCTCATTTATCGGAGGTGGATTTCACAGGACTACAGCTAGAGCGGCCACTTAGCAGGGACAGAAGTGACTCACCTGCTACCCAGCTCTGGAGGAGGGAGGAGCTTCCTCTGCCCCTCCTCCCCACCCTTGAGGGGGGACTTGGGTTCCTGCTGAGGACCTGAGGACCCAACTGTCTCCCCAGAAGCAGCATCTCTTCCTCCCACCACACCAGACTATCCTGCCCCTGAGCCTTGCGGAATATTTAAAGACAGACGTTTTTTAAAGCTTTGAAGGTCCTCAGAAGGATAAACAGAAACATCTCAGGGACTCTCCAAGGAATAAAACAGACCCTTCGGAGGCTAATATGATCAAGGGCACTCTTCATTGTAAAAACCTGTGGGGAATTCATTTTATCTGTTCCTGCAAAGCTCTGTGTAGGAGAGAAGGATTAAACAGCAGACACCCACAAACACATTCCTTCTTTGAGTTCCCACACTACAAAGCTCAACATCTTGTACCCAGAAAAATGTAACAAGAGTATACCATTTGAATTAATGAACAACCCTTAAGAAAATTAATACTCAATCATTTTAAAGTGACCTTATCAAAAGAGACGATAGTAGAAATCTGCTCTAGCACAGATTTTTTTTAAAAGCTGAGACTTAAGAATCTTGAGCCTTTCAGACAAAGCAAGGCTTGTCAAAAGATGTCAAGCTGTGAACCCTTCCGTGGCCTGGAGTCCTTTCTATTAATACTGAGTTAACACTAACACAGAAGTGGCATCAGAGCCAGACCTCTGGGCTTAAATCTATGCATCTTGCACTGACCTGTTGTGGGCTTTAGGCAAGTTACACAGCTCTTTGTGCACCAGCCTCTTCATTTCTAAAATGGGGACAATGCAAGTACCTGTGTGGCAGGATCCTATTGAGACTAACTAAGTAAACGCCCCAGAAGGAGCTAAGACAGGGCTTGACTCAGAGTCAGCACTCATTCCGTGTGGATCCTAAGGACTGTTCATCCCGCACAGATCTGTGAAACAATGGCTATGGTCCAGCACTACCTTGAACCCCCAAACTCCCTCCCACTGGAAAAACTCTCTTCCTACATTTACGAGAGAGAGTGTGCACTGGGACTAGACACTGTTGCCAGGTAAGGTCTGAGCTTGAGTCTGGGCCCCCATGCAGTGCAGAGGTTGAGAGGCTCGAAGCTCTCTTGGCCAGGTTCATTGGCCCAGAGTGCAAGCACAGTGCCTCTGTGTGTGTGTGTGTGTGTGTGTGTGTGCACGCGCGCGTCTTGGGGCAGGGGAGGAGTTGGTCCCAAAGGCCGTGACAAGACACGGCCTTCCCTTGAGCCAAAAGGAGATGGGCTCTCCAGCATGGTAACATGTGGGATCAAAGATATGTTCCCCAGGAGGTTTCAGGAATGAGGCAGAGGGATGGATAACCCTGGGGATATCTGAAAAGTCAGTACATGAGGTGACTGTGGCTAAAATATGTGGGGTGGGTCCTGACTGACTCCCAGAGGACAGTAGTTGGCCCAGGACTCAGAGAGACATCTGGATTTGCCTTCTGGCTTTTAGGAAAATGAAACAAAAGGCTAGGACAAAGGTGGGCTGATTGTGGAGAAAAGCCTCGAGTTTGGGGTCAGGACTGGTGTGAGCGATCCTGCCCTGAGACCTGAAAAGTGGGGGCCTGTCCTGGGCCCTGGATACCGAGGGGCACAGGGCTCCCCAGGAAATGAAGAGTTTGGGGCTAAGGGGATGGGCACACTCAGAGCCCACATGCTCCATCCTAGACCAAGCTCGGGGTGTGTGTGTGTGTGTGTGTGTGTGTGTGTGCGCGCTAAGTCATTCAGTCATGCCCCACTCTTTGCAACTCTGTGGACAGAAACCCACCAGGCTCCTCTGTCCCTGGGATTCTCGAGGCAAGAGTACTGGAGTGGGNAGATCCAACCAGTCAATCCTAAAGGAAATCAGTCCTGAATATTCATTAGAAGGACTGATGCTGAAGCTGAAACTCCAATACTTTGGCCACCTGATGCAAAGAACCAACTCATTTGAAAAGACCCTGATGCTGGGAAAGACTGAAGGTAGGAGGAGAAGGGGACAATAGAGGATGAGATGGTTGGATGACATCACCAACTCAATGGACAGGAGTTTGAGTAAGCTCTGGGAGTTAGTGATGGCCAGAGAGGCCTGGCGTGCTGCAGCCCGTGGGGTTGCCAAGAGTCAGACACGACTAAGCAACTGAACTGAACTGAGCTGAAGGTGAATTTAGAAATCTCAATATTCATGTAGATGGCTTGTGAAACTCCATTTGCACTATCGCCGCATAATCCATAAACCTTGAGGCAGACCTAGGTGTGAGACTTGGGTGGAGTCACAATCTAGGTCCGTTGGCCCTGGGGGTCGCAACTTCTTCACCTACAAGATCAACAGCACGGGAGGGCCCTCCGTCCAGCTCTGCACAGTTCTGACGCTCTCCGGCTCAGCTCTCACCCTGTAACCCCTGATCGCAAGAATGTGTGTTTCACCAAAGGTCCAGTCTGAAGTCATGAACCTGTGCTGGCGAGTGGCGCCCTCAGCTGGACGCGGAGAGCAGGGCTGCGGCATCAACACCAGGGATCCCCATGCAGGGCCCCCCAGCAGGGCTCCCCATCCAGGGTTCCCCGTCCGCCTCCCTGGGGGCACCAGAGACAGGATCTGACTATAGTCTGTTGCAGGTTGTGATCTGGGAGACCTGAACCCAGTAGACAGAGTGGTTAGAGACCAGGTGGGTAAAAACCATTAGTAATTCCCAATTCCCTCATGACTGCGGTAACCCGAGAGACCACTCCAGAAAGACAGGAGTAGAGGAGGTCTCTCAGGGTCCCTGATTCAACTTAGAGCAGAGAGTCCCTGACCTTGAGGTGGTGCTGAAGCAGAGGAACCCAGCCCATCATTCTCCCTGTGAAATGCTCCGCTGGAAGAGCCGGCATCACTCAGGCGCTTCCTGACGAATGCCACCCTGGGCCTCAGGGAAACTCAAAATTAAGTCCCAGGAGGCCAGCAGAGTGGTGGCTCTGAAGGGAACCTTCCAAAGTCACCTTGACCCGCCGCCCTGCACAAGCAAGCCTGACTGCTACTGATCGGGACTGGACTCCCCCAGCTCCCAGCACCAACTGGTCCTGGAAGCTGCCTGAAGCCTTAGTGCCAGAGGTTTGGGGAGGGGGGGCTAGGAGCAGCCTCCTCCCCCGCTATCCCCGAGCTAGCTCTGCCGTTTCTCACTTGCGGGGAGGAAGAGTTTGGAGCCTCCAAGAAAGAAGCCTGTGGATCCACTGTCCCAGAGCTGGTGCCCTCCTGTGTGGCCACTGCCCGTGCTCTCCCTCTGGGAGTGGACCCCATAGAAAAAGGCAGGCTGTGGTCACTGAAGGGACAGTGCTGTCGTGCCCGCCCACTCCTCGGTAACCTCAGGCCAGCCTCCGCCACCGGGGCCTGTTGGAATCAGCAAAAGACAATCCCCCCAACCCCCGGAAAGCCCTTCCTCTCCCTACTGCAGGCTGCCCTTGCTCCTTGGCCCTGCAGCACCCCAGGGCTCTGGGAAGAGGGTTTCCTTGGGGCATCCTGGGGCTCAAAAGCAGTGAACATCACCCTGGAGGGGCGTGGAGGAGGGAAGAGGGGCCCAGAGGCCAGCAGAGCAGCTGTCTTTTCTCCTGACTCCCCTGGGAGCTCTCTCTGTGGTGTCTGGTCTGGAGTCCATGAGACATCTGCAAGATTGGAGGCGACCCAGGTGGCGCAGTGGTAAAGAATCTGCCTGTTAATGCAGGAGACGCAAGAGATGCAGGTTCGATCCCTGGGTTGGGAAGATTCCCCTAGAGGAGGAAATAGCAACCCACTCCAGTATTCTTGCCTGGAAATTTTCATGGACAGAGGAGCCTGGCGGGCTACAGTCCATGGGGTCACAAAGAGTTGGACATGACTGAGTAGCATCTTAAATGGGTTGAAAAGGAGCCACCGACCTCCTGTTCTGGAAGTTGAAGGGAAAGAGGAGATGGGGTTTGTACTGGTCTAAATAAGAACTGATTCCTTTCCCAGCTGATTCCCTCCTCCGCTGATAGGTTCTTGACGAGTGGGCTCACTCGTTCAAGTTCCGGGAGTTAAACACTGCCTAGAGCTTCCAGAGCACTCCCCGCGAGTGTCCTAGGGAAGACGCACCTTCTCAAGTGAGGTCTTTCACCCCAGGGTGATGGGAAGGGGAACAGCGCTGCGATCCGTAAGTGACACTGACCCACGCATGGCCACGTGCCGCGAGGCAGGGCGAGGCTTTGCGTCGGTGCATGAGCACCACACCTGTGGTCTGTTACACATGCAGCTGACACGTGAGCACGCAAGCCTGTGTGTGAGAAGCTCACACGCTTTCATACATGGTTCGCACGCCCTGGTGACTTTCACATGGACGTGGTGTACATGATTCTGGGAGGAAGATTCTGCAACTAGAAGCCCTGGGCCGGCATGTAATCTGCAAGGACCATCCTGAGGGGAACAGTGAACACAGGCTTACATGCCCTTCTGTGTTCAGACAGAGTGAAGCTCAAGGTCTTTGTTTTTTGCCCATGCGCAGAATAACTCAGAACTGAAGGAGCCTTTTGCCAGACTGACTCCCCTCACTAGGAGCTTGCGACCCGGGAGGCATTCGCACCCTGGGGACCGAGCTCCCTCCCTGGCCCCTGGCCTCCCGTGCACCNTCCTTTAAGGACCACAGAGGAAGGGGCCGCCCAGGACTCTCTCTCTTTCTCCCTCTCTCAGGCGCACACACACGAGCAGGAGACAGAGGCAGTGCCAGGCACCGGAGAAAGGAAAGAGCCAGCAGAGTGGCAGGCTGCTGTCTGAAGAGCTCTCAGCAGCACCCCAAGCATCTCGGCCAGGCTCTCAGGGCCTGAAGAGAGCCGTGCAAAGGCCTTCAGCAGTGAACAGAGATCACTGCCTTCCTATACGCTGTTACTTAAAGTGAACACTACACACGTAAAATAAGAGGTCCAGCAAAGTTCCGATTCTCTGTGGTTTCCATCCCGATGAGTCATGGAACGTATGCATTCATATCTCACCCACCTTTTGGGTGGTCCTGCTTGGTTGATGCTCTAAGCACCTGTCTTGAGACCCACAACGTTGCCCCTTTCCCCCACCTCAGTTTTCCAAAGAGGACACAGAGGCTAGGTGTTAAAGGGGCTTGCCCAAAGCTGCACGATGGAGCCTGGGGGGGAGTCAAGGACCCTGTTTCCCGGACAAAGATCCCTCCCCCTCCTCCACCGAGTCCCCTGCCCGCGTCCTCACCTGGGGTGGATGTCCACCAGCAGCACCAGCGTCTGCATGGTGATCACGTCGATGCGCTTGCAGTGGAAGCGGGCCACCTTGAGCACCTTGCAATATGTGCAGCAGAGCACGACGAAGGAGAGCAGGAAGCTGAGCGCGTGGAAGACGCCCGTGAAGACGGCGAAGCGCAGGCGCTCGTCGGGCCGCCGGCTGCAGAGCGTGCAGGACGCGTAGAGCTGGTGGAAGCCGAGCCAGGACAGGGCGAGCGCGGCGGCCGGGAAGGTGAGCGCGTGCAGCCACGTGTAGGCCACCATGAGCGCGGCGTCGCGGAGGCGCATCTTGGCGCGGTAGCTCAGCGGGAAGACCACGGCCACCCAGCGGTCGATGCTGAGCGCGGCCATGCTGAGCATGGAGTTGGCGGCCAGGAAGGTGTCGAGGAAGGCGGCCAGGCGGCACAGGCGGTCCCCGGCCGGCGGCCGCTGGGCCACGACGCCGGCCAGCGTGAGCGGCATGTTGACCACGGTGCACAGCAGGTTGCCGCACGTGAGGTTCAGGGTGAAGAGCGCCGGCGCCTGCCGGCGGATGTCGGCGCTATGCAGCAGGCAGAGCAGCACCAGCGCGTTGGACAGCAGCGAGACGCCCATCGTGCCCACCAGCAGCCCCGCCAGGCCCGCGTCCCACGAGTTCATGGTGCGCGCCCGCCGCCGGCGCTCAGGGCCCGCCGCCCCGNCCGAACCCGGAGCTTTGCGCGCCCTCGGATCCCCGATTGCGGGCGCCGGCGGCCGCCTCTCACCCCATCCCTCCGCGCTCCGTCCCGGTCTCCGCGGCCCCTCCTGCAACCTTGCTTTCTCTGCCTCCCGTTCTCTGCTGCTTGCTCTCCTAGCTTTCCTCTCTGCCTTCCTCCCCACTTACTCTCTCTCCCCTCTGCTGTGCTTTCTTTCTCACCCACTGCTGTTCTCTCCGTCTGTCTCCCGCACCCCTCACCAGTTTTCTCCTCCCCTCTTGTTCTTCCCTCTCCTCTCGTCTGGCTCACTCCAGAATCTGGCTGCTTCTATCACAGAAATTCCCCGCTGAGGCGCGCGAGCGCGCGCGCACACACACACACTCAGAAAGAACCAGCCCTGAAGGCTCCGGTGCGGGGTGATTGGCTCTTGGTAGCTTCCTGTCTCCCACCCCCACTCCCCAATCCTCCCCGAATGTGTGTCAAAGACAGGCTGAGTCAAGGAAGTCTGCCCGAGAAAAGGGAGGGATGCCTGGGCACCTTCATGCCGCAGGGCTACCCGTCCGAGCCGCAGCCCCAGCCTGGCCAGACGCGGACGGGGAGGTCCTGCCCCACCTGTCCCTCGGGGCTTCGCGGCGCTGAAGTTTCTCCCTCTCTGGGCTGAGCCTGGGGAGCTCAGGTGGGCTCCCTTTGCCAAAAAGGGAACAAACACACCTCTCTCCAACCTCTGTGATCAAGGCCCCGGCCCCGGATGTCTCCCAGGGCCTCCCCAGCCTGTCCCCGGGGCAGGTGCTACCCTCCTGGGGGCGCTTGGTTCACGGGGCTGTCTTCCCGCCGCCCTTCAGCCTGGGCTTCAGCCGCATCCTCAAGCCTGCTGGGGTGATGCTGAGACATCCCCCTAGACCAGAGAGGCCTTTATCTGACCCTGAGCGCTCACAGGTGGATGGATGCCTCTGCCTGTCCAAGGCTAGTCTCAGCAGAGCCCTGGGGTGGCTGATACTCAGCCCTTCCAGCCCAGGCTCCCCTGTGGCCATCTGCCAGCCCACACACCATGTGCTTTGGGTCTCGTGGGGCAGCTGCTTCCAGGCTGTGAGGGACCTGAATGACACACCCTGCAGGAACTCTTCAGAAAAAGGGCAGGAGGGTGGCTGGTGTGGCTTGGTGGAGACCCCGAGAACTCTGAGCAGGCAGGCTCCCAGCTCCTGCCAGGGAAAGCGTGCAGCAACTGTGGCCCTTCTGTCTTTCTGTCAGGACCCCAGGAGGAGGGCTTCCCAAGTGATCCAGTGGCTAAGAATCTGCCTGCCAATGCAGGAGACGCAGGTTCAAACCCTGCTCCCGGAAAATCTCACATGTCAAGGGGCAGCTGGGCTCGTGTACTGTCACTACAGAAGCTGCACTCGAGAGCTCTCAGGCTGGAACAAGAGAGGCCACCACGGGCGGAGGCCGGTGCCCTGCCACTGGAGAGAGGCCCCCACTCAGCACAGCTAGAGAAAGCTCGCGTGCAGCAACGAAGACCCAGTGCAGGCAAAAATAAATCAACAGATCTTAGAAAAAGATCCCAGGGGGAGGGTGTGTGGATCAGGACTCCCCTCTTACCCTGTGACTGAACCTTTACCAACACACCACTGATGTCACAGGATCCTGGCAAGTTACTGGACCTCACGGAGCCTCATTGTCCTTTGCCTCTCAGGGTTCTGGTAAGAAATAACAAGACGCTGTGTGCACAGCGCTTTGCCCACCAGAGGAGGAAATGAACCGGAAGCCAGCCATCTCCTCATCACTTGGCCCATCACGTGGCCTGCTGACTTCAGGGTTGGCTGTGTCTTCATTAGATACTTGGCATCAGAGTGAGATATTCACCTGCATATCTCACCTGCTCCCAAAGACTTTGTTCCCACAAGTAGCCCCTAACAAGAGACAGGTGACCAGGTACTGTTTGTGGAATAAATGCGTGAGCTAAACACATTGCTATGAGCACTGTTGGATTTACTCTTCTTGTACTTCAGGATTTATCAGAATCACCTGAGAAACTGGGGTGCTGGTTAAGAGTTAGATTCCTGGGTCACACTTCTGAGGTCGGTCTGGAAATCTGCATTTAGTGAGTTTTTAGGTGATTCTGATGAGGGTGGTTCATGACCATGCCCTGAGGAGCTAACTCCAAGTGGTCAGGTCGTGGGGGGCGGGGGGCTGGAGGCCAGCTCATCACGTGGTACATCCTCCAGCAGTGGCCTGATGCTCTGGCCTGGAGGTTCCTGCTGGAGGGTCACCAGCGTGTGTAGGAAGTACAGAGTGAAGTGTTAACTAATCTCTTACGGCACAGTGGAGTTTATAAGACACGTCCAAACATTATTGCACTCCATTTCATCCCTGCTACAATGACAAGAAAAAAAGCTTCTCATCCACATTTTTGAGATGAGGCTACTGAGACTCAAAAAGATTAAGTGACAGAACTGGTCAGGGATGAAGCCAGCATCTCTAACTCCATAGATTGCCCCCCTTCTGCATACTCCAGAGGTCCTCAGTCACTTTCTTAAGTGGGTGTCCTTGGTCTGGAAGTTGAAAGTATCTCAACTTTGCAACATCAAAATGATCTTGGTGATCAGGTAACCAGGCACAGCAGCCATAAACCAAAGAACTCACACACACACACACATGCACACACACGTCATTTTGAAAATCATTTGCTTTCTGATTTTTAAAGGCAAAGGTTAAGACGGCAGAAAGATGCTCAGAACATTTTAACTCAGTTTCCTAAAGAAAAGAAGCTCATTTTCTTCTGGTTGTGAACAGTATTTCCTTCTCCCAGGGTGGGGCCAGATGGGGGGCTGCTGTGGGGGGCTGGTTTCCTTAAGGACCAGGTCCTCAGCCCCCAGGCTGGGCTTCACTGAACACATGTCTGACAGCTGCAGACCAGCAATGAGGTCACACTCACCGAGGAAGCAAGATGCCTGTGTCCCGGCTTTGATACGGGGTTTCTGTTGCTCCTCAGGAATGGGGGCCCACCTGGCCAGGAGATGAATCTTCAGGGCCTGGAGTGAGTGTGCCTGCCAGGGGGCTACACTGTGGCCAGATCTGCATGTCATGCTTCTCTGAGCTAGAGAGAAGTGATGGGGTATTCATGACAGTGTTAACATGAGTCATTAAGTGCTGTCGCTGGGCCCCGAGGAAGGGCTCAGCAGGGCTGAGTCTCACCCGCTTTGATGGTTTAATACAGTTCCACATGGAGGCAGCTGTACAGACACGTCATTGGGAATCCTTGCCTCAACACTTCAGCACAGATATCATGATCCCAACTTGACGAGGTGAAGGAGCTGAGACCCAGAAATGTCCTTAACTTGCTCAAGGTCACGCCAAGTTGGCATCAAAACCCATTCCTTCCTCCAGGGGATCTTCCAGACCCAGGAATAGAACCTGGGCCTCCTGCCTTGCAGGTGGACTCTTTTCCATCTGGGCCACCAGGGAAGCCCCATAAATAAGGCAGTATAAGCTAATTAAGAAGGTAGAGTCATCATGTGAATTGGAATCCACATCTATTGGACATTAAAACATGTTCTCCCCACTGTATTTATCACACACATGTGCTTGAACACAGACATGCATGACTCATAAACTACCAGTGAGATGTTAGAGACTGAAGTGGTCCTCTCCATGGCTATCTTTAGACAGATAGGAAAGGTTTGTACAAACTGTCACTGAAATGTCACCAATGCCCCAGAGAGGTCTCACTGAAGTAGCCACAGAGAGCACACCCCTTTGGGGAATGAAGGGTTCTGGATTTCTGCAAGTGGAGGGGAAGCCTGGAAACCTGTGTTCTGGGGGAGGGAGGTGTCTGAATGTGAGCCCAGAGGCTGAAGCCTGGTGTGTTTTGTAGCTCTGGAGCAAAGGTAGGCCTGTAGAAAGGCTGAAAAGGCAGGTAGTGAATCCTAGAGGGCAGCCCAATGCCAGACTGAAGGACAGAAATGTCAGTTCCTTTCAGATGACAGCTTCCAGGCCCTGAAACCTCTAACTGCTTTAGGGACACATCCCTGAGTCTCCCAGCGGGTCTGCGTTTTCTAAGCACTTACACACCCGCTGTCTCATGTGACCCTATAGAACCCCTGGAGGTCAAGGAGTGACCCAGAGATGCTCTCTTTGCTCAGGGCCATGACTCACTGTCCAGTGCTCTCTCTTTCTGCTGCCAGCTGCTGCCCACTCCCAGACTGGTGGTTCTTTCCCAGGTAGGTTGTTTTTGCACACCTCCTGGTCCAGCCCTCCAGCTGGGCAAGCAGAATCAATTGAACAGAGTCTTTCCAATGGGATCATCCAGCCTCTGCTTCTCTTGCTGGTTATCAGAGGAGCTGGCTCTCTGGGCAGGGCCTTTGTCACTCCTGAGCTTGTTCCAGCCCCCACAGACCGGGCATAGTGGGAAATGGGCCCAGGGAAGGGAGGAAGAAATCAGTTACCTGGCAGTCTCTCCTGGCGATCTCCTGGGAGGAGCGGAGCCACCTCTGCCTGAGGGGATGCAGGATGTGTGGAACGCTTGTCACCTGTCAGAGGCTAGTTGTCATCCAGACCCTCTGCCTACCTAATCTCATTTAAGTTCCACCGCTGCCCTGTATGAGAGACTGCAGTTATCCCTGCCATACGGATTAGGAAATTGAGGTTGAAAAGGTTAAGTGACTGCCTAGGATGTCAGAACTATGGAGGGGTTCCCGTCTGACCTAGCGTCTATGTATGTAATTACCGCGACTCTGTTCTAATGCACAGATTGAATGCCCCTGCTTCCACCTCTCCCGGTGATGCCCAAGCAGCCATCACTCCCACGCACGCTCCCCACCTCTACCTCCTTTTCTAAATGGGATTCCTGGGCTGCATGCCACCGGGGGGTGGGGGGGCGTGTAGGAAGTCAGTGAGTGATAATGGATATGTGTAACCATGTCTGAGAGTCCCCTGTGGGCCAGGCCTTACCATTCATAGGAGAGGGACTGC